TTTTGAAATGCAATATAGTCCTATATTTCTATACAATTGAATGCATATTTATCATAGATTCCTGACTGTTTGATGCTGTCCTTTTGTTTGAGAAATAATAATAAACCACTTAAGAATGCTTTCAGAATTGTTAGGGTTCTTTTGGATATAGGCACATGGGTAACACATCATCAAAAGTGAATGCATGAACTTCCAAAGTGTGCAACATGGCAAAGCAGCAGCTCATGGAGACTTTCTAACCAGACTTGCTCATGAAGAGGTAGAGATGGAACGATCACCCCAAGAGTGAGGGCATGCTGGGCTTTGCTGTCATCTGTGCACACACTAAAGGATGTTCTTTATATTATTTTTTAAATGAAGGAAAGAAGTACAGAAATGTGTCAGCATGCTGTTTTTTTATGGTGGTAGGGGGTGTGCTAAAGCAATGCTTTTGTCCTCGAATGTGCTTGTCCTATAGCCAGATTGTCATTACTGTTGGAAGTAAACGAATGCCAAGTTCCACATAAAACTGGAGGAGCTAAAGCAAAAGATTCTGAAAAAGGCTTCATTATGCCTAGAAGGAAAGAGTCCTTTCTCTGGCTGCTTGCTCCATTTCCTTACCCCGCCTGAGACCCTATCACCTCTGAATTATTTTTCACTGTTTTGCTTCTCTGAAAATGAGTATGCTTTCCCTCTCCTTTCTCAACTTTCTCCATAAGAAAAAAATAAAGGAGATGCATAAATATTTTGTGCCTAAATAATTGAGAGTAAAAATGGAGGTTTCCTCAAGTAAGTTATCGTGGCACAGACACACTAAGAGGGACTCAAACCTGTAAACTACTTTAAGACAAAGGCGAAAGAAAGAAAAGACAACAAGCCTGCTTTGCCTTTTTACAGACTATCCAAAGCTGATTGAGCAGCTCCTCTGTCAGGAATAATCGAAGTGGTGTCTCCCCCGGAGCACCCTCAAACTTCAATCCCAGGGTTATTGGGCCAGCTTTAAAAGCATCCTTATTCTTCAGAACTCAAGTGAAAATGTGACTTTTCACTCGCACTCATCCTGCTTGCTCTAACTAGATTAAATGCATCTGTTTAGTAAGTCCTCATAATGTCTTGGATATTGAAAGTTTAACACTGTTAAATGTCGCTCCATAGAAAAAAGGGAATCTAAACTGAACTTCCCACAGCCTTCTGAGGCTGGAGTGCAAGCCAGGGGCTCAGGAGGGAGAGCCCAGGCTCAGAGCATGGCAGGAAATTCCCGGCCGCATTCCCATGAGGCAGATCTTGGGAGAAATCAGGAATAAATAACCGTATAAGACCAACACTATAAACATCCTGGTACAGCGACAATCTGCCCTAGGACTTATTTTCAAACTGCTGACCTCAAGCATGGTTTTGGTCGAGTTTTTCTTCTAGGTAACTTGTCAAGCACTTGCTCATCAATGATGTAAATCTTCCAGGTTCCCTTTCTGATCATTTGAGCATATTTTCAAAATATTTACTTTGAATAATACAGTATGATAGCAAGTAGACAGAAACAAAAATATCCAACTTGGGTAATATGAATTAATTACCTGAGTACTATTATTTTCCTTAAATTAAGTAGAATTTGATTTCTGAATTTGCAACTAAAGTATATGTTGGAAAAAGTGTGTGTTCTTAAATATTGTTCTGAATTCACTGCATTTCTTGTTTTACCAGATAAAAATTGGGGTGGGGGTGTTAAATTAACTGATTACTGTGTGAGAGTAAGAAAAGAAATCAGGTAATAAAAATGTTAGCAAGTTGGTGTGATTAAACGATGATTTCAGGTGAAAATTACAAAGCCAATATCCGGGCATTTGTCACCGAATTCACTAATGATACAGTTATTAAATTTGTATTTGTGCCAATGAACAACAGTTGTAAGTGGCATAAGGGAAGATAACCTCTTTTTCTTTGTGGCTTTTTAAAAAACTCAATGTTTTTATCCACCCATTTAATCACAAAGCATATACCACATTAGTTATAATATTTATAGTGTTTAGGAAAGTAATTATAAATAGATTAGAGTGTGGTTGTTGGATAGTCTTTTTTTTCCTTCATGAACATATCTCAAAGGTATGCAGCATTTTTTTGAATTTGCACTAGAGAGCAGTTTTCTGTGTGAATAGTTACCATATATTTATGTTTGGAGTCCCTGTTTGGTCATTACTGAGCTTGCTCATTATTTTGGAAAAACAAGATTCAGTATTAAAAGGGCCTTATGCTTAGGCTATAGAAAGATCTCTGTGTGAGCCCAATCCCCGCACGGTTTTGTTCTTCTGGAGCCCTTAAACTTGCTAAACTACAAAATGTCTCTACTGTGCTTTTGGAAGGAGCTTAAACCATACAGTAAGGCCGGCGACCGAAGGAGCTGATAATGGCAATCAGTGGTTAGGTTCGCCCCTGGTGTGGCTGGGGAAGGAGGGGTTGACAGAGGGATGTGCGTGGCTTTGGGGGACTACTTGGCATGTGGGAAGTATCCCCCACTTTCCTAGTTGGGACTGGGAACTTTGGTAGTGAAGAAAAGTCTAAAGGACTGTGCTAGACAACACTGTCTCCTGTGCCGTGTCACCAGAGTGGACACGGTGTCCTGAGCTCAGGCTGCTGGAGTCTGTCCCCTGTTTTGAAAAGAGCCCCTAGCCCTTGAAGCTGGGGCTACACTGGACCACCCGGGGGAAAGAGGGTGACCCACTCACTCACTCGGAAAATCTCCCCTGCTTGGGTGACTCTGGGCCGCTGCTGGCAGCTGTGCAAAGTGAAAGTTGGTCACAATTCCAGTGAGAAGACTGACTGGAAAACACTTCTCCATTTTCCATTTTCTGATAGGAAAAGAAAAAGAGATGGGGCTGTCCTAGGAAGAAAAGGCTATCTCACACCCCAACTCCCCGGAAAGCCATTTGGGAAGGCTTCTTAACCTTTCCTGGATTTTCCCTCCCTCATCCCAAACTCTGTGTCATGGGCTAGTGACAGTGATGCAGGTGTGTCGTGTCCAGCATTGTTCAAGGCCAAGGTCATGGGGGTCCACAGAGTATGGGAGGGGGCTCAGCAGGCATCTAGGCCTTGGCAGAACTCTCCAGCCCAGCCTTACCCAGTGTGGCCAGTTGCCCCCTCCTGGGCAGCCAAAGCCAATGTGGGCTGAAGTTTCCTGGGAAGCAGGGCCCACGAGGAACTTTTGAATTTACCAATGGCAGAAAAATATATATTTTTATGACAACGGGCAAGTTTCAATTGGTTGATAGAGATGGCGAGATGTGACGTCAAGGGACGCTGGTTAGAATGCCAAGGCCAGGAGGAGGGGCAGGCAGAGAGACGCTAGGACGGACGCAGGCCTTGTTTCTCCAGGGTGCTGGCAGCCCACGGGCCAGGAATGGCGCGGTCCGTGTGGCACCCAGCCAGAGCATGCCCGGGCAGGGAGAGCGGTCGGAGTGCAGCCACCCTGTGTCTGCTCTTGTACCCTGGAGGCTTGGGCCAGTCCCTCTTTAGTTTGGAAACTGCCTAGGAGCCCTTGCTCATGGCTGAGAAAGACACCAGTCCTCTTGGCATTCATTCTAACCGGTGTCCAGGCCCTGGAGCCTAGCCGGTCCCTCTCCCCTGGAGGGGCCCAGGAAAGCACAGTGTGGCCTGCAGCCAGCAGTGCCGCCGTCGGGCTGAGGGAGCAAAGCTTTGGCCTTGAACTTCTTCCCGCAGCTTCTGTGACCTGAGTCGGGAAAGCAGGAAGTTGTTTCCATGGGGAAGGAAGAGGGCGAGCCAGGAGCTGGGCAGCACTGCGCCCCCCGCTCATCCCACATCTTCCCGGGCACTGCGAGCGACCCTAACTCTGCCAGACACCTTGCACGCCCCCTTACATCTCCTGGTACCGTACCCCCCCTCCACACAAGAGCTCATCTTCCCCACCCCTCCCCACTGGGCACCGCGCCCCTCGCTCTGCGGAGCTGGCAGGGTCAAGGAAACCGCCGCAGGGTCGCCGATGCGCGCGCCCCGCACCGGGGAAGCTTCTGCCACCGTGGGCCCCGAGCGCATCCCAGAGTCCGGCCCCACGGAGACGAGCCCAGCGGACCCGGGTCCCGGCCCGCGGCGCGAGCCAGGCGGCGGACACAAGGCTGCAGGCAGCCGCGGTTCGTGGGTCC